GTCTACTGTTATTTCGCCCCGTCAACAGTGGGCACCAGATTGGACATTTAAGTCCAACATTTAAATAAATACTCTTACTGGGGGAGCCTGCTCCTCCATTGACCTTCCCTATTAGTATTTGAAGGTTCGCCCCCACTTTAAATATATTCACACTGAATAGGTTCCTAAAAATATTGATTTGCTATTTTTTTTTAAATAGTAACCCATCTCCAACTATGTTTATTTTGGGTAGTAGATTTAGAGGGCCTATCACTATGGGCAGCAACGGCTGGTAAAATTGACAAATAAACACACAAATGAGCACAAAAAAACTGGTCCTTATTGTCCCCAATCTGGCCCTGCGTCACAGAAAACAATTCATGAAGAGCTGCCTATTATTTGAAATTAAGTTGTTGCTGCCACAGTTCAGTCGTTGGTGGGCCGTGGAAAGTTTATTTTCTGAGCAGGCGCTTAACGATTATTTTCAAGTCAATAAAATAATTTCAATTAATATTGGAGTCAAGACGGAGACGTAGTTTGCTCTAAATCATAGTAACTGATTAGGTGGGACTAGCTTTGGTGGCTATGCTAACAATCAATGCATGTGGACCACTGTGGAAATCTGGCAATCCAGGAGACATAACTTCAGAATCAGTAACATCTGTATCTGTCCCCACAGAGGGGAAGTTTGCATTTGATACAGCAGAAAAGAGCCCAAAGACAGCTTTATATTAACTAAGAAGCATGGATTAAAAAATTACCATGCAATTTACTAAAATACATTTGTAAAGTTTTGAAGATGTTGTGCTACAGTCAGACGGTAGATATTCTACATTCCAATGGCAACTGCTGTTAGCAAGCGGTAGGATCAACGGCAGTGGAGCACCGAGCGGTGTCCCATTACAGAGGCACTACTAATTTAAAGGCCCAACACATGAATCCATGTCACATCTGTAGAAAGGTGTTAAGTTGGAGAAGTCATTCTTCGTAAAATAAGAGCAACATGAGTGCAGCTTTTGTTTCAAATATGTTGAGTTAAGTTGTTAACAATACAGTTAACAGTTAAGAATGGGGATATCATTATAGTGGAAATCACTCTGTGGCCCACCCGCCCACAACACATGTTAGCACGTAAAACAACAAAGAAGAAACTTAGAATAGATGAGGGTTGAACCGATGGACGACTACCCTCTAATGCTGAGAGCATGCTGAGCTGGGACGGCCCCCCCCTCTGCTGCGGCTGGGCTCTCTGAAGACTTCTTCTCCCGTCTTATGCTTTGGACCCTTTGGCGGTTTATCCATCATAGAGCGGATTGCTGTGCAATCTCCGTCTAAAAGAGCAAGGAAAGCAGTTCTTTAACCTGACAGTCTCAAAAGTGTTTGTGTAGCTCTACCTTTCTATATACAAGTCTTTGAAGCCCTGATCCTTTAGCAGACATCTTTCATTTTGAGTCCTGCAGGAAGACTTTGTTTGATATCAGGCCCTGGACTTCAGTTTCCCTCCACTAAAGACGACTATATTAGAAATTGTAATAGATTCATACAATCTTCAACAGGTACTTCTCTTAGCATGACCTGATGAAGCTTTTTCTTTTGAATGAATGAATCACATGAGAAGCCCCTGCCACTGATATACGGTGTTCCCAGATGATAGCTTTTTAAGATTTATTGAAAATAGTCGCAAAAGTGCATACATATAAACATGGAGGCTGTAAAGCTGGACTAGCAAATAATGTCTCACGTCATTCTCAAAACACTCCGACTCAACCGAAAAAACAGATTTCAGATAGCGGCTTAGGACATGGGGTTCCCAATCTGTTTTTCCCAAGAGCCCCCCCAATAATTCACAAAGGGATTAAACTGTTTAAAACACATGCTCAAAGTAAGCCGGATTTTGCCGATGTGTTTATGTGGATTCAAAAGTTGTAAATAATCTACAAAATGGAGGAGACCGATCTGATCGGAGCAACTGTGACAAATAATCCAACTGAAACCGGCATGGACAATGACTATGTTTTAAAAATGCGCTTATCCAGACAAGCCTGGTTTGGACACTTTACGGGCAGAAGAAACATTTCTATTAAAGAAAGAATTATACATTTCTGTCTTTTTATGCCTTTAATAGCTACTA